TAAATTATGTTGTAATTGTATTATGTTAAAAGGAAGTGAATAAATGTTGATTTGATTTGATTGATTCCATTCAAATTTGAACTCAGATTTCATCCATAGAAATACAGGACACACACACACACACATACATGTGCTATGTACAATTCTCTAAGAAAATGAGAAATACTTCATGTAAAAATTTGTAAAGAAATTTGATGAGAAATAAACTGAACATTTCCTATTGAAATGTTATGACAACACATTCTTTTCAAACAAACTCAAAGTTCAATTTCCAAACTTTGTACATTTTCAGATCCAAAATTTTTACACATGTTTTTATTATTTAATGATGATCCCAAAAAGTCATTTGGGATAGATGGCACAGCCTCTAAATCCAAGGTTTGGAGGAAATTGCAACTGATTTTTCAAAGACACAAAAAGCATATTTGACGAAAAACACAAAGCGGTTAATGAGATACAGATTTTTGAGTATTTAAAAACTGGCGGGAAAAGGAGCGTAACCACCCTTTTTTGCACCCCTAGTTTTTAAATATTTAAAAATCTGTATCTCATTAACCGTTTCTGAGTTTTTGTGTGAAATATGGCTTACGTATCTTAGAAAAATCAGTTTTACAACATATAAAAAAGAAAGAATTTTCTCCAGAGTCCCTTTTTAAGCATGTTTTCACTAACGCACTGTATTAGGCTATTCTTGTCTGTCTGAACCCTAGTCAAAAATGTTAAAACTGATTTTCTCAAAAAATTAAATAATATAAAAGTGAACAAACCATTTTTAACAAATGTGGCTAGTACTAGTACAACTGAGTACCTGGGATGTTTAAGCGTCTTAGCAAGAGTGTCATTATTAGACTTTCTGGCGATACATACCTTTCCCTGGGTAGCCCAAAGGGATGAGGTGCAGTACATGTTAACACAAGCCTTGAATAAATAGCACTTAATTCTTGTTGAGCAACGAACAAATTGTCTACGTAATGTATTGCCTCTCATACAAATGGACCTATATTGGCTATTTATAACAGCTTCATCTCTCAAATTAGATGTAATATATGACCTGAGTTAATAAGGTTCTGGGGCACCCACATAGTTTACGACTTGAGGGACAGAACAACGTGCATGGATACGTTGTGCTGTTATGCAGAATGTCGTGATCCATAGCAAAATGTTCGCATATATTACCGTAACAGTATTTGTGAGCCTTGATGCCAATGGTGATATAAGAACTATATCTCATTATGCATATACATAGCTGATTTAACCTTAAATTATTTTAACAACACCCATATATACAGTACTTTTACTTACCAAACTGGTCAGGTCATCGTCTCATAAATTGTATAATAAGGGTGACATAGTTCCCTTTTTTCACTCAGTTTGTGACTTTATAAACTATGTGTGAGATAATTGCCCCATCGATCCAAAAAACATTGCTGGTTGAACCAAAATTCAACCAATCACCATGGCATTATCATTTTCATCATCATCATGATCAAGTAAATGTACAAAAAAAAATTATAATTTAACTGGAATTACAGTACTTTTTTGACATAGGTGCTCTGTTTCAGTGATTTTTTTATTTTACTGTGTAAAAAAGTAAAACCTAAAAACAATTTGATATGTGTAACATTAAATGTTTATTCCATATTTGAAGAGCTTTTTATTATTTTATATGTATTTTTTTTATATTTTTAGATTAAATGGAGGACCGTGCTTTGGGGTATCTATTTACAGTTTCTTATCGGCCTTTTGATTCTTCGTACAAGGCCGGGATATCTGGTATTTGATTGGCTTGGGAAACAGGTACAGACATTTCTTGATTACACATACGAGGGCGCCAAGTTTGTCTTTTATGAGAATTTAGAGGAACGTTACTTTGTGTTTGTGGTAAGTTTACAAAACAAAAGAACAGGTTAAGAATGCTTCCCCAGTCACTGCATCCTCCCCAGAAAATGTTTGAAGCAAAAACATTAAGTTCAAGTAGTTACAAAACACCTTATTGTGAGCTAACATACTTCACTTTATCATCAAGCCCTAATTCACCTTCATGCCCCATCAGACACCCCCTTCCACATTTCAGGACTCTAGATACGCCACTGGATTGATAAGAAGCCTCTGATAAGTTTTGCTTTTGCATTCGTCCTAAAGACAAATTTATGTCAAATCCAAGTCGACTGAATTTAATGTACAGTAAAATGTACGTGAACATTATTTGTTGTTAAAACATCACGCTAACTTTTACCTGAGGGAAACAGTTTTCATGGAAAGACTTTCAAGGCTTTGTTGCTGTTTGCATGCATTAATCTGAATAGACCTAGTTTGATTTCGTACGGAGCACTGAATGTTAACAAATATTGCTTTCAAATAATAATAATAATAAATACCTGCCAATCCTAGGGTTAGGCTTAAGAAAAATTTTTTTTTTTTTTCAAAGGTGCAATCACGCTGGAATTTTTTTCGGTAAAATTAACCAAGATGCTGGTTAGTTTTACCAGGATTTAGTCCAGTGTAAACAGCCCTGGAAACTTGCCTCTCAGGAAAACTTTACTGAGACCCAAAAACTGACCAAGTTAGTCTTACAGAGCCAAAAAGTCCAATGTGAACATGCAACTCAGTTAAACTTACCGAGTCATTTGAGCATTGCTCAATTGATTATGTCATGGATTAGTGCCCTCAATAGCTGATTTTCATGGCTCGGTTATAGTTTTACCATTTATTGCAGTAAAACTAACCGACTCAAAGAATCCTAGCGCGGACAGCAGTAAGAATTACCCATTGGATGGAATATGGTATCTTGATGAAGTCTTCTCGTTTTCAATTCCTGTGTGATTGCGGCTTCAGACTTATAATTGAAGTTTTTAAAGCATATTAAGCCATGGGAGAAAACATTTGCTGTATCAGAACAGTATCAAAATATAAACGAAAGTTCTACTATTTTTTTTTTTTTTTTTCATTTTTATAGGTGTTGCCCATGATCATATTCACCAGTGCTGTTATCTCTGTTCTGTACTACTATGGTATTATGCAGATAGCCATATCAGCGTTTGCTTGGATTATGCAGCGCACGATGGGGACATCTGGTGCGGAATCCTTCGCAACAGCTGCAAATGTTTTCGTTGGAATGGTAAAAAATGATTAAATTAATTCAGGTTACTTAAACATACATCATGAATTCATAATTTACAACTGAAATTTTTTTTCACTTTTGCATATTAGTAAGTTAAAAATATGATTTGAAAAATGTTAAAAAATAAGTCTATTTCAAATACACCATCTTGCAGTTAAAACAGAGTTTGTAGTGACAGTATTGATAGAATACAGTTGATATTCGAGAGGTTTGTTATTTGAGATGTCATTGTGTATTAACTGTTGTCTACATTTTATAAATCCATTGTTAATATTTACCATATGCAATTAATCTTCTAATAACTGTTACTTTAACAGGGCTATAGAATTCATTGGACTGTACCACTTCCAAAAATAGGGGTGGTTACATTATGATCATGATTTAAATAATAGTACTAAAGTATTCATATATTTTTGTCACAGTATACATTGTATATGTTTGTATTTTGTATTTGTAGTCACCGTTGCTGTTAGAAACGCTCATCCTAATTCATGTTCACATTATTCGTATTAGCCCCATAAAAAAGAAACTTCAATAATATCATTCTAATCGTGCAACACAATTTTCCACACCCCCCCCCCAACATCTTTCCAAAATACAGTTTGCTAAACAAAGCATAAAATAGTCTTGCCAAAGTTTCTGTACATAGTTTGTTTTTATTTTATCTTATTTACTACCCTACCAACAGCAGTAAATTGTCACTAGGTAACATTGTTGTGTGACACCATATTAGCAGTGGCAGTTTAAGAAATTTCTGACATGTAGTACAGTACAACCATTTTGACAGGAGGGCCAAACCAAAAAAAAAAATTAGAGCCTTGATCAGGGTCTTGGAATACAGTCCCATAGAAGAGATTTCATGGTTTAGGATGGCCTACAATTGTGCTTTTTTTGTGCTGATTTGCAATTACATTAACTATGTTTGAATCAGCAAATTAATATAGTTTGGCTATCTTATCATTATGTCAGATGACAGGAGTCCATGCATGCCTGACAAAGGATATTGCCTTCCCCCAACTCCCCTCTCGTGCTGCCACTGTATATTAGATAATAGATCATTTCGTTGGTAAGTTTCAGCAGCCAATACTTAAATCAGACTTTGATGAAATTGAGCATTATCTGAATCTACAACAGACAAAGAATAATAATTTTTAGTGTTTGATAAATGTGTGAAACAAGCATATTGTTGACTGTCACCACAAAATGAACGATGTGTCGCAAAGGGCAAAACTGAGATAATAGTACTATCAGATAAATGATCGAATGTAAAGTCTGGGCTGTCTCTTATACACATCTAGATGTGTATAAGAGACAGGTGCATGGATACGTTGTGCTGTTATGCAGAATGTCGTGATCCATAGCAAAATGTTCGCATATATTACCGTAACAGTATTTGTGAGCCTTGATGCCAATGGTGATATAAGAACTATATCTCATTATGCATATACATAGCTGATTTAACCTTAAATTATTTTAACAACACCCATATATACAGTACTTTTACTTACCAAACTGGTCAGGTCATCGTCTCATAAATTGTATAATAAGGGTGACATAGTTCCCTTTTTTCACTCAGTTTGTGACTTTATAAACTATGTGTGAGATAATTGCCCCATCGATCCAAAAAACATTGCTGGTTGAACCAAAATTCAACCAATCACCATGGCATTATCATTTTCATCATCATCATGATCAAGTAAATGTACAAAAAAAAATTATAATTTAACTGGAATTACAGTACTTTTTTGACATAGGTGCTCTGTTTCAGTGATTTTTTTATTTTACTGTGTAAAAAAGTAAAACCTAAAAACAATTTGATATGTGTAACATTAAATGTTTATTCCATATTTGAAGAGCTTTTTATTATTTTATATGTATTTTTTTTATATTTTTAGATTAAATGGAGGACCGTGCTTTGGGGTATCTATTTACAGTTTCTTATCGGCCTTTTGATTCTTCGTACAAGGCCGGGATATCTGGTATTTGATTGGCTTGGGAAACAGGTACAGACATTTCTTGATTACACATACGAGGGCGCCAAGTTTGTCTTTTATGAGAATTTAGAGGAACGTTACTTTGTGTTTGTGGTAAGTTTACAAAACAAAAGAACAGGTTAAGAATGCTTCCCCAGTCACTGCATCCTCCCCAGAAAATGTTTGAAGCAAAAACATTAAGTTCAAGTAGTTACAAAACACCTTATTGTGAGCTAACATACTTCACTTTATCATCAAGCCCTAATTCACCTTCATGCCCCATCAGACACCCCCTTCCACATTTCAGGACTCTAGATACGCCACTGGATTGATAAGAAGCCTCTGATAAGTTTTGCTTTTGCATTCGTCCTAAAGACAAATTTATGTCAAATCCAAGTCGACTGAATTTAATGTACAGTAAAATGTACGTGAACATTATTTGTTGTTAAAACATCACGCTAACTTTTACCTGAGGGAAACAGTTTTCATGGAAAGACTTTCAAGGCTTTGTTGCTGTTTGCATGCATTAATCTGAATAGACCTAGTTTGATTTCGTACGGAGCACTGAATGTTAACAAATATTGCTTTCAAATAATAATAATAATAAATACCTGCCAATCCTAGGGTTAGGCTTAAGAAAAATTTTTTTTTTTTTTCAAAGGTGCAATCACGCTGGAATTTTTTTCGGTAAAATTAACCAAGATGCTGGTTAGTTTTACCAGGATTTAGTCCAGTGTAAACAGCCCTGGAAACTTGCCTCTCAGGAAAACTTTACTGAGACCCAAAAACTGACCAAGTTAGTCTTACAGAGCCAAAAAGTCCAATGTGAACATGCAACTCAGTTAAACTTACCGAGTCATTTGAGCATTGCTCAATTGATTATGTCATGGATTAGTGCCCTCAATAGCTGATTTTCATGGCTCGGTTATAGTTTTACCATTTATTGCAGTAAAACTAACCGACTCAAAGAATCCTAGCGCGGACAGCAGTAAGAATTACCCATTGGATGGAATATGGTATCTTGATGAAGTCTTCTCGTTTTCAATTCCTGTGTGATTGCGGCTTCAGACTTATAATTGAAGTTTTTAAAGCATATTAAGCCATGGGAGAAAACATTTGCTGTATCAGAACAGTATCAAAATATAAACGAAAGTTCTACTATTTTTTTTTTTTTTTTTCATTTTTATAGGTGTTGCCCATGATCATATTCACCAGTGCTGTTATCTCTGTTCTGTACTACTATGGTATTATGCAGATAGCCATATCAGCGTTTGCTTGGATTATGCAGCGCACGATGGGGACA